CCTGGGTTTGCCTCTAAACGGGGTTAAATCGCCGAAACAACAGCCCTTGCTCGGGTAAAACCCGAGTCATTCCGTTACGTAGTACCGGCTGTCGTGGGAATGAGAAAATGATTGTCAAACATGATACGGAGGCTCTTAATGGGACACTTCGGTGGAGTTTTGCCTAATTTGCGAAAAAGAGCCAAAACATAATCGCGTAAAATTGCAGAATTAGGAAGAATTTTTTTGTGTTTAGATATTTTAGTAAATGACACGAAAATCACGCTAAGCCAATACGATCGACCTGCGAGATAAAAGCTCTGATCCAGTACTCCATGAACTTACAGGATTTTACACGAACTTGCAGGAAGTTGCAGGAAAAATGTTCCCGTACTCCAAAATCCTCCAAAATTCTGTAAATGAGAGCGAATTTTGGAGAGTTGTGTAGAGAATGAAGTTGCGAGATTTTACCCGAACTTTGTCTTCTGGTAAAATCATGAAAAGTGTCAAGCAATCACTGGTTGACGTTTTTACAGGAAAAATGGTTTTTTGGTTCCCGTACTTTTTGTTGTTACTCACTTTTTACTCTCACTTCAGAGAGTAATTTTGTTGTTTGACAGTTTTACATGATTTTTCCACGAAAAGTATTGGATCAGAGCTAAAATGAAAATTTAATTACCAAACTACGAAATGACATTTGATTTAAGACATCGATGGTTGAAAATTCGACAAGATTTATGAATTAGCAGCGGAAATTTGCGGTCTCCACCTGACATTTCGCACACCATCTCAAAAGTGGCACATCTCAAAAAAAAACACGTTCGTCAGAAAATGCGAAAAACTATTTCGTAGCACGTGCTCATCAAGTGCACATTTTTACTGCATAATTTCAAAAGTGCCAAATTTTGAGTTGTGCCAATTTTGAAGATTGTCTAAACGAAGCTTTTTTTAACAGAATCCATAGGTGTAAGTGAGCATCGCAAGCAGGTGAAGACACCCAGTAATAGCAGTCATGTCATATGTTAACAAAACTTGTTATTTTTTTCACCAATTCTTTGTTATCTTTGGAATATCCGGAATCCTTGGCGGTGAGGCCCTTGTAATAAATAGAAAAACTGTGCTGTCTCAACGGAAAAGTGTCCAACACAATGCCTAAACTAAAGAAATTGTTACCAGCCATTTTTGGCACAAATAAAGACAGCCAAAAGAATAACAATAAAAACGACAACGGAGATTGTGATTCTGGAGCTGTTGATGTTAAATTTCCCAAAGGAAGGCTAGAAACGGATGCATTGCCGGTTGATGACAACGAAGAATCACCAGTCAGTAACAATAACACACCAACGCCGTCAACTGAACTTACCGAATCTATAGTGCGTGAACTGTCGGATCCAAATTACAATTTGACCAATGTTACATCTAATGATGCTGAGTTTAGAGAAGTAGCACCGTTGAACTCGTACACTGGTGCGCTGGCATTGCATTCAGATAGCAGTGCTTTGACTCCAACGACACCCGGTGCTCTTGGACCGGCCACTATGAACACCATGAATGTACACAATGCCCAGCAGCAAATGGTAATGCAGTTCTCTAACATTAATCAACTGCACTTTGGTTCAGTTTATAATTTTAATAGCAATATAAGTGGCATATGTAATAGTAATTTAAGTAAAAAACAAAGCAAAAGTGATGAACCAACCACACCCGGAGGTACCAACGGCGCGGAGAACTCGAGAAAACAGTACCCACGTAAAACAACTACTATTGTAGCTATGATGCAGTCACGCGACGAACCGAACCACCGTATATTGGAAACGATATCCACTCATCTAGGCGAAGGGTGGAAGCATATTATGCGAGAATTGGGGCATTCGGAAGGCCAAATAGAGCAGGCTTTGATTGACCATCAAATGCATGGTGGAATCAGGGAGGTATGTATATATTGCATGTCTAAGCAAGAGCTTATCAAAAAATATTAAATAACTGAACTTTCAAGGTCATCTATCAATTGCTGCTACAGTGGATCCGTGATGCCGATGATAATGTAGCAACGCTCGGACACATTACTTCTTTACTTTGGGAATTAAATTATCGAGATTTAGTGCAGCGTATGAAATTAGTATACAAATCGGATGGTGACAAACGAAAAAAATCCTCATAACAATGATAAATGAGAAGAGTGTCTTACATTGTACATGTGTAATGCAATGGTGTCCAAGGAGTATGCATTTATTGATATGCATACAAAATATTTTTTAATGTGCTCTCAAAGGGCCTTTCTGGATTTTAGAGTCATGTATGCTGCATATAAAAAATAAGAGTATTCGATATTTGTTGTATGTACCCTAGTATTGTGGATTTCGTCTCCTGAAATGCAAAAAGCCGTAACTAACATAATCAGTAAAATGAAATCGTAACTAGTAAAAAATTCAAAACTAAATTTTTGATTGATATGATGCTTTTCATCGTATTACAACTCTGCACATCTTTTTATGCAAAAAAAAAAAAAATCATTTGTTTGGATTTTTTGCATTTCAGTGACGATTTGTGGTATTTACAGTTTTTGGGAGATAATGTAGTAAAATTTTAACACAAAATGCATGCATAAATACCACAAATACAGAAAACAACGGCATATATGCACAACAAATCTCGAATACTCATAATGTTTCATTTTCGTTGTTGTTTTAAAAACCAGTATCTAATACTGGTGCATTTGAGCGTGGAATATTGATATTAGTTATTGATATTTTAAAGATATACATAAAAGTAAATTAAGTTATATATTAACCAAGCACATGTATTGCAAACCGCTTAATGCTTTCAAAACATTCAATGAGAAATAAGTTCGGTTATATATCGCTTTAAACCAAGAAATTAAAAGCGATGGAACCGAATTTATCAACTGTAAAAATATTGTGATTTGTGTAAAGTTGGTAGTTCTTTCTGGCAGATATTTATGCTTAATGTTGCTCGGCACTGGCACGAACTGATTTCAGTAAAAAATGCATGCCTGTAACTGGATTGTCGTCTACTTGTAAATCCTTATTCCAAAGCAATCTTAATAAGTTAGAAGTAAAATATGTAATTAAATTGTTTTTCTTAAAAATATTAAATAACATTTGAATGAACTACATATTGATGTATGTATGTAGATCCCTTAAGCTTAAGTTAAAAATCATTGTCCAAAATAGTACAGGTATCTAGAAAATAATTAATTGCATTTCCGTTCGAATATACTGTAAATAGTAAAAGTGTTTAGGAAAAACTTGCGATTTAATTTTTTGTAATTTTTGTTTTGTATTTTTTGTTAGACAAACATTATTAAATTCCAATATATTGCGACTAAAATTCACTCTGATTAAAATCTATACGTGTAAATAATTGTAAATAAATTTTATTTAATAAAGCAAGAAAATGTAATAGTGCGTGGTAGTTTGAATTCGGTGAATTTGGCTTTAAGTGGGGATCACACGATTTGTACATTCGTACAGGTTTGTCAATTTTTTCCGTTACAGAGTGGTGTTGTTTGGAAAGCTGTTATTGAGCTGAGCTCGTTCCCGATACAAATTTCTAAACAACATAACTCTTTGACTGACAAATGTGATCCCTGCTTTAGAGGTGTGGTAACG